CGGCCCATGTCAATATTACCACGTCATCAACTAATAAAAAATTTAACCAGTAAAAATATACGCGTGGTACTTTTTCATGTAAAGGGGGAGGCACTAATGGTAAAAGCATGGCTGAATTCCTTTAACCATGTCACGGTGGATTGAGAGGCTCTGGTTCAGGCATTCAGCAACAGGATCTTCTGATTGAATGGCTCGGCCTATGCCCTCTCTGTTGTGGCTTCTCCTGGGATTACAAGCCCATGACCTCTTGCATTATAAAAACCTAATAAATGTGTTTTTTAGTGTTAAAAGAAATATTATGATGATCAGTCACATTATTTAGGTTACGTATTTTGATATTTCTGATGTGAAATCCGTGTTGATAGGGTGTGCGTGATATGAATGAGTAAGGGGGCTGAAAAGGTCAAACATTTCTACAAATTTCATTAGGAAAATGGTGAGGGTATAGGCTGATCTTTGCCGTTTACCAACAAAGAGGGGCCCTTTATTTAGAAGGAAAATTGAATTTTGTCATGGTGGTGATCGCGCCGCATGAAGTTATGTTTGAATGTGTAAAATAGTTGGGACTTCGGAAAAGTATTGACATGGACCAAATCGAAGGATAATGAGAAAGTCCACCATCCAGCGTGCCCGTACGCTGGGTTTTTTTTTTTGGGGGGGGGGGGGTTGACCAACAGGAGAACTGCTTGTTTACGTTCTACGATTGTGGCGGGGGAAAAAATCGTTGGACCTTTCTTTGCCGGCCAGCTATAAAAATGACGGGAGCCGAAAGGTATCTGAGAGCAGTGGTAGACAGTTAGTGAGATAGCTTGATATTTTGAGCGGAAGAATCATTCTATAGGGTCCATAGGGTCTAGACCTTACTCCTTGTTTATAATTATTACGTGGGGTTTAGCGCACAGCTGTATGAGGCAGTGCCACCGTCCACGCCACAGGTTTCACGATAACTCATAAAAAGCTTTTCGGCGTCTACAATTCTACATGACCTGCCTCTTTTCGGCTCAAGGCTCCAAGTGGGAAAACCGTCCCGCGCTAGATCCGTACTTTGCGTCCAGCTTCCTCTCCCATGTTTCCTTTGTTCGTGGAATTCAAACGCAAGGCATACCCTCCCGTTAAAAAATATAAATTATTTTTTTTAAGTGTTGTATGTTTAGAAATATAGAATATTTTTAAATCTTTTAATTTTTAATTATTATTTTTTTAAAATACTTTTATTGAATAAATAACTTTGTATTTATTTTAATATATTTATAAGAATAAATATAAAAAAATAAAATTAATTCAAACATAAATAATTACTCTATTGAATGTAAGATTAAATTAAAAATATTTTATATTTTTTTTAGCAGTGGGGTATGTACCTTCAATTCTAATCTGGCATTCACTTAAGTTTCAACCTCGTGATTCTCTGTTAGTCACACTTTCATGTGTATTACATTTGTATTAAGAAAAATTTAAAGATAATTTTGTGATTCCACTGCTGCATAACTGTTTGTCTTGCTGTGGTAAGTGGCAGTTGGGCTATCAACTGGCTGTCTAGTTTAGGTGACTTGTAACCTGTAAAAGTTTGATATGTTCGGCAATTGGGAGGGGAAGGGTAGTCAAAGTTTAAAACTGGAGTTATGGTAAGGCTCAGCTGACAGATATTAAAACGTCAACTGATCAACTGGCAACCTTGATCGGACGCTTGTGGGGCCCACTCTTTTCCTAATCACATCTATGCCGCCCCTTCTTCACCTGTTTCTGCTTTTTCAAAGGTCAACGACATATTTTTCGGTGATTATGGCCCCCCCCCCCTTCCTTGACCAGAAGGTAGATTCTGGGTTTAACTTCATTTCTTTTGTGGGAAATAAATGGATCCGTAAGAAACGAAAAGCAAAACCCCACCAAAAACATCTTTTGTTTTGGAAGGCAAATGCCCATTGGAGGGCTGGTTGATAAATCCCTTGGACCTGTAGGCCCATCAGAAGGTTATGCATGGGCCATTGGAAGACATTCCTAAGATCATAACATGTATAGTCTTTTCTTTTTCTTCTACATATCAAATACTCCCTCCATTCCTGTATGTATATATTATATCACATAATTTTAAAAAATTAATTAATTATAATAATTATATTTAAAAATAAAAAATTAAATTAAAATATTCTATGTTAATCAATATAAATATATATTAATTATTTTTTATTAATATAAATTATGTGAAATATATAATTTTGCTTATATAAAAAATAATTAAAAAGTAATAATTTTTTTTATAAATAAAAATAGAGGGAGTATACCGGATGCGTTCTTCTTTCTCACTTCATTTTTCAGATTATTGTCCAAGCCCATAACAAGCCTTGAGTTAAAGATGAGAAACTCTGCTGACGGAATAGTTTGCTTAGGAGTTTGCCTATTATAAAATTTATCAAATAAATTTCTCTCTTCATTTTAATTTATAAGACACTTTTAAAAAAAATTTTATATATCAATAAATTTTATTAAATATGCTTAATAATATTATTTTTTAAAAACAAATATATAAAATTATAAAAATATTTTTTATTTAATATATTAAAAATAAAAGGAAACAAGAATCAAATAGAAATAGAAATTATAATATTAAAATAAGTCCATTCAATAAAATCTTAATTTTTTAAAGTATAGGTTAAATTATTTTCAAAATGTCAGAGCATGGAGTATTTCAAATGATAATATCAATACGACACCCCATCTACTCGAGATTCAAAGTAATCAAGCACCGGAATCATGAATATTACCGAAGAAGTGTCTGACGGTTGCGTTGACACTCGGTGACTGGAAGTGGGAGCTGGCACGGTGGCGAATAATAAAATAATGGCGATGATGAACACAAATGCTGATAAAATGGCAGGAGCCAACTTATGCGTGTGGTCTGGGGTGGATCATTTGGTGTAAAAGCAACTATTTACATATATAAAGCCACCCGATGACCCGACATTACTTCAACAATAGGTGAGTGTGGAATGTGGATGGGAATCAAAGCTGAAACTTGAAACCCTCCTAGTATTTTAAAAAGGGAGTGGTTAAATAAAGTCTTACACGTGAATTAAATAGCATAGTTAATGCACTGGTGATTTCTTAACTGATATCCCAACGATGTTGATTAACAAAAACCTTTTGAAAATTGAACACGATTGTCTACTGCTGCCCAAAGCTTTAAGCGCTGACCTCGGCCGCACTGAACAAGAGGAGTAATCCTCACGGAATCGCAAAAACTAGCATTATTTTGACCTAAACCATCTCTCTCTATTGGTGGATTTTCCCTGTGGTCTCTTCGACAACAAAAACAATTCATTAATGCCGTGGGAGCCAAAGTATGCTTCCGGTGTCTAATTCTCTATTCAAATTCAAGCGGGAATGCTGAAATGAAATTTTGGGATCGATCATTTCACCCCTAATTCAATTTGTCTGAAAGTTGAGACTTTAGAACTGTTCTATTATTTTACACTTCCTCCATTCAAAAAATGTAAGACATTTTTTAAGGAATTGAATGTTTAAAAATGTAAGACATTTATAGTTTTTTGAGGTGTAATCATTATCTTTTTTTTTAAATGTTCCTAATGATAGATGATTTTATATTTATTGTAGAGTATTTAATAGAGATAAATATAAAAAGATAAAGTCAATTTAAAAATAAATAACTACTTTATTGAAGGATAAGATTTAATTAAAAATATCTTACATTTTTAAACAGAGGGGATAGAAGTTTTTTTGTGTGAAGCGAGGGCATGCAAAGTTCAATACCTAATACTCAATCCATCAAAAATTATAAAACATTTTTAAATATATTTAATGTTCTAAAATATAAAACACTTTAAGAAGGTTAAGATTTTATTAAATATGTTTATTATAATATTATTTTTTCTTTCTCTGTTTGATCTATGTCCCCCACCTTTTTTAATATATTAAATGAAAGGTATTTTTAAAAGTTTTTGAAAAGATAAAATTGTTAAACGTATTTAATATGAAATTTATTAATATATAAAATTTTATTTAAAAATGTATTATAGTTTGATATGAAGGGAGTACTTTATATATAAAGAAAATTTTAATGAAGTCCCCTTAACAAACTTAATTTCAGTTAAAACTTTTAAAATTATGAAGTTTCACTGCATATAGGAGGAATTGAAATGAAATTAAAGAATTGACTGAAATGATTTTATTATTTCAAATGAAATGAACAACTCATGTAAGGAAATTAACAGCTGATGGATGAAAAATAAACAATTGATATTGGTAAAATTTGTAACTCTTATTAACAGTATAACACCATTATGAATTTGTAAATTTTATTTCACTTACATTAGTTGTTTATTTTTCACACATAAATTATTTATACATATAATTTCACTTGTTTATATTCATAAAAATATTATATTATTAATAAGTTATAAGAGTTGCAAATTTTACCCATATTAATGGTTTATTTTTCATAAATTTATTGTTAATTTTTCTATATAAATTATTTTTGTGCCCAATTTTTTCGAGAACAGCAAAGTCATTTCAATCAATTTTTTTAATTTTATTCTAACCTCTCACATGTGCCATAAAATTTTAGAATTTTAGATGCTTTAACTAAAATTAATTCGGGTTCTTATTGAAATTTTCCTCATATATATGGGCTGAATTTGAATCTTAACGTGTCTGAAAAGCATCGCGCAAGAATTCGACACGAGGGTCTTACTTTGTCCTCGCAAACCCTCGACCTGTGCATCAACCATTCTCTCACGGTCTGTGACAAAACGTTCAAAGATTTCGATCATTTCAAACATTGTCTAAAAAGAAAAAAAGAAAAAAGCCATTAATTGTTCTAACATTGATGTGATGGATAAAAATGATTTATAAATAAAAGTAGGAGTATTTATTATTACCTGTAATAATATTCAAGACTAGTTAACACCACCAAGTCTGAAAAGGATCTGTCAGATTGACAGCCAACAACGCTATAAAATCTCGAACTTCCCTATAGTTTTAGAACCGCCCCACTGCAGATTCATGAAAACAGTCAACGACCCCTGTCTTCAAATCCCACTTGTTCTGTGTCGCATCCTCATTCTTACCCCACCGCATAATTGCCATGCATTAGCAAATCCACGGTTCCCCCAGTTATGGTTATCTCTTGACTCTCTGCAACTTGCTCTCCCTTTGACTCTCATGATCAAATTTAAAGAGTAACCGGTGCCTATTTTGTCGGCTTCTTCTCAAGTTGCTCGTCCTACTTCTGACTTCTGCTCCAGCAAGTCAGATCACCTATAAGCTCTCAATATGAGTCTGTGACTTGCTAAATGTCCTTCTTTCTTGTATCGAGTTTTTCTCTCGAGTAACAAATTCTTGGAACGATCATGGAAAAAAATCTCCTGTCTTTGTTCCATATAATTGCTCCCTTCATCTTGGTGTCGATTCTTTCCCTTTCGTCTGAAGTCTGTCTAGGGAGGGTTCTAAGTGTTGGCAAGATCTCTCCAGGATTTCAAGGATCTTATATGAGATACATAGACAATGGTGGCAAGTTTCTCGAGTCAAACAGTGGAGAATTCTCCTTTGGCTTCATCTCTACAACAAATGACACCTCATTATTTCTACTAGGAATCGTCCACAGGGCTACCGCTACAGTGGTTTGGACTGCAAACAAAGGAAGTCTTGTTTCAGATTCTGATAACTTTGTGTTTGATGAAAATGGTAACGCCTTCTTACAGAAAGGAAGATCCATGGTCTGGTCTACAGATACTAGTGACAAAGAGGTCTCGTCAATGGAATTGTTGGACACAGGAAACCTAGTTTTGCTTGGGAACAATGGAAGCGTTGTTTGGCAGAGTTATAGCTACCCAACGGATACCTTGTTTCCAAATCAAGTCTTCACAGAAGGAATGAAACTTATCAGTGAGCTTTCACCTCATAACTTGACCTATGTTCTTGAGATCAAATCTGGTGACGTCATTCTTTCCGCTGATTTCTTAGCTCCTCAGACTTACTGGTCCTTACAGAAGGATAACCGCAAGACCATTGATAAAGATGGTGGTCTTGTGGCTTCAGCATCACTGACTGAAAATTCCTGGAGGTTCTATGATAAAAACAAATCCTTGTTGTCGCAATTTATTTTTGCTGGAGATTCAGGGGCGAATACCACTTGGGTTGCTGTTTTGGGAAATAAAGGTTTTCTCACTTTCTTTGGTTTACAAAGTGAAGGTGCAAGGAGTGTTTCTCCAATTAGAATTCCACAAAACTCTTGTAGTACACCACAACCTTGTGGCCCATATTACATATGTACAGGTGATAACAACTGTCGTTGTCCTTCTGTTCTTAGCTCTCGTTCGGATTGCAAGCCAAGGAATATTGTCTCTTCTTGTAATGACTCTAAAAGTTCTGTTGAGCTCGTGAAAGCTGACCATGGAATCCATTACTTTGCGCTTGATTTTCTTCCACCCTCTTCAAGAACTGACTTGAATGGTTGCAAAGATTCTTGCCTTGGTAATTGCTCGTGCCTTGCTATGTTCTTCCATAATAACTCAGGGAACTGTTTTTTGTTAGACAACATAGGAAGCTTCGAGACTTCTGATGCAAATTCAGGGTTTGTTTCTTACATCAAAGTCTCGACTTCAGGAAGCAGAGGTAGTAATGAAAGGAGCAAGAATCGCACCATAGTTGCTGTGATCTTTGCCTTATCTACATTACCTGTAATATTGGTTGTCTCTTATTTGGGATTTCGATACTGCAGAAGAAAGCCAAAATTGGATGATCCTTCTGGGGAATATTCAGAAGATGACGTCGTCTTGTTGCGGAATTTAACTGGCTTGCCAACTCGTTTTAGCTACAAAGATCTTGAAATAGCAACAAATAATTTCTCAGTGAAGCTGGGACAAGGGGGTTTTGGTTCGGTTTATAAAGGGATTCTACCGGATGGGACTCATGTAGCCGTGAAGAAACTGGAAGCCACTGGGCAAGGAAAAAAAGAGTTTAGAGCAGAAGTTAGCATCATCGGAAGCATCCATCATCATCATTTGGTTAGGCTTAAAGGCTTTTGTGCAGAAGGATCTCACAAGCTTCTTGCTTATGAGTACATGGCAAATGGGTCATTGGATCAATGGATATTCAAGAAAAGCGATGGAGAATTCATGCTGGGTTGGGATACCAGGTTTAATATAGCACTGGGAACAGCAAAAGGACTAGCTTACCTCCATGAAGATTGTGACTCCAAGATTGTACATTGTGACATCAAACCAGAAAATGTGCTTCTTGATGACAATTTCCTTGCTAAAGTATCAGACTTCGGTTTGGCCAAGCTAATGAATCGTGAACAAAGCCGTGTTTTCACAACACTCAGGGGCACAAGGGGATATCTAGCACCAGAGTGGATCACAAACACGGCTATATCAGAGAAAAGTGATGTTTATAGCTATGGGATGGTGTTGTTGGAGATCATTGGAGGAAGGAAGAATTATGATCCTAATGAAACTTCAGAGAATTTCCATTTCCCATCTTTTGCTTTTAAGATGATGGAAGAAGGGAAACTGAGAGATATTGTTGATTCAAAGTTGGAAATAGATGAAAACGATGAAAGACTTCATAATGCTATTAAAGTCTCATTTTGGTGCATGCAGGAAGACATGTCTCGAAGACCTTCCATGGCCAAAGTTGTTCAAATGCTTGAGGGTCTCTGTGTTGTTCCTGAGCTTCCAACTTGTTACCCATTGGGTTTTCGCCTTTACTCGTCTCTGTTTCATCCCACCCGAGAAGGAGTTGAACCATCAAACTTTAATAAAGGTTCTTATATCTCTGCAGTTCATCTTTCAGGACCAAGATAACAATAACGCATTTATTTGGTACCAATGACACAGTTAGATATCTGCAATGTAAATTTTGTTGAGTTTCATGAGGGATATATAGTTATCAGGTTTCATGTTCAGATTGTTTCCAGCGTTACATGGTGAAAGCAATTTGATTAATATTTATAAAATACCATGAGATTATTAACTAATCCAAATAAATGCCCAATTCTCTCTAAATTCCAGAGGTTTCAAAACAGGTTGACCCTAAAATATAAATGTTTACTAGCAAAAACACCCATAATACCCGGTTAAAACTTGAGACATAAGGGTTGACTCTGAAATATTTAGTGCCCCCAAACATTGCTGGAAGTAAGTGTTTAATTGGAGGCCCAAATTATTAGTCTTCATGTTATGGTAAAAATGTACCGGCGCGAATGAATGGCTCAACACGATGCTGAATCAGAGGCACTTAACCTATTCATTTTTTGTTTTTTTTATTGTGTAAATAAATTCATTTGTTGAACTGATACGTTGAATAACTGTGAGAAACAGTGAGAATATGGAGTTTGAAGATTTTAAAAAAGCACAGTAACCATGCATTTTTGGGAATATGGGGTTTAATTTGTCGATATTGTGAAGAGACGTGAACGGTTTGATTTAGTCAAATTGGTGCCTTCCCAAACTTGTCGCTCCTTAATACATCTCTTAATGAGTTTAACTCTTTTTCCTTTTTTCTAAAAATAAGCACATACTGTATGCTATATATATGAGCAACAACTTCTCTTATGTTCAATTTAAAAAGGAAAGTTATGTGCAATTAAACTTTTTCTTCTCGGAGCTTAAATTTACTTGCCATCAACTTTTAAGCTTTGACTCAAAAGAAAAGCCCCATCCTTTTTAGAGGAATTAGCCTACCGATCTGGCTCAGACGTGACATGTCAATTTTAAGAGTTTTGCTCTGTTAAACAAACTATCTCAAAATAAGAAAATAGGGAATGACTATTTAGGGCATTAAATTTATTCTGGTATCCGATTGCCTTGTGTTTCACAACTTCACCACTTCAAATGCAACAAGACAACGTGAGAGTTTGGGATTTGCATTCAGTTATGCTCATTAGGGCAGGAATCCATTTGAGTCCAAATTGATCACTATCATTCATTTGAATTAATTTTTAAATATTGTTAATATTATATTTATAAATATAAAAAATTTTAAAATTTTAATAAATCTGTTTATTACTAATTTAGCATAGATTTAATAACATTTTAATTTAATATTAAAAATTTTATAATTTGATTATCTAGATAGTTTAGATGCAATCTATATGACCTAATTTAATATTAAAAATTTATAAATTTTATAAATTGATGATTTAAATGTATTTTAAATAATTTAGATTTAATATTAAATTTTTTATATTTCTTATTTTAATAAATATAATATTGAAAATTAATTTAAAAGAACAGCAAAGATCATTTTAGATTAAAATGAATGCTGGCTCTGATGAGCACCAAGTACACACAAGAGTTTGTTGGTTGACTGGTAGAATAGCGTATGATAAAGTACATGTCAGGGGCTTGACCTGTATGTACGAGTCACAGCGTGTGCAAAAATATCCACATATTTTAGGCAAACATGTACGTAGTTTTAAATCACACTGCAGCAAGATTAAAGACAAGAATTTAGTCCCTCGGTTCTCATGCACTGCGCAATCATGCTGATTAAGGCGTAGGAGTATTCTAGAACTGATACACCAGATAATTATATTGTTTAATGGCGCGTGTATAATTGAGGCCATGAAAGGTGACCCACCAGAGTGTCTGGATTAAATCACCCTGCTGGTAGAGATACTCAGGACCCACAATCAATGCCCGAAGAGAGCGAAATACAGTGTGTGTGTGTGTGTGAGATAGAGAGAGAGAGAGAGAGAGAGAGAGAGAGAGAGTTTTGAACTATTTTACTTGACAAGCCCAAAAATCAAACCCATGAAGGAAGAAAGAAAATGTTGTGGATGTGGACGAAAGTTTTGTCCTCGTGGGTCAATGCTGATGACTAGAAGCCTGATAAAAAAAACGGTGAGATCTTGTGACTTTGTGTTTGGCTGGCATCTTGGTTTTTCTGTGAAGCAAGTGAGAAATGTTTAGTTTAGTCCCACACTTTGAAAGTCCAAAAATTGAAAATTGGAATGCACGAAAGATGTTGTTAGGAATCTTATCATCATTATCTTTTAATAAAAGAAGTGGGGTATGTTTATGGTTGCACTCTCTCTATTCCTTTCCCTATTATGATTGATGATTGATTCAACTGGTATTCAAATCACCAACAAGCCCAGGGAATTAACAGTAACCTACTTTATAAGGCGTTTCATAAATGTCGTAAATATGAAATTAAATCTTCCATAAATCAATCTTCCATGGCTAGACAACAGAAACAGATGAGGCTATACATGATGTTAATTCTCTTTTTGAATCTAGACCCGTTTGAGACATGGTTATAAAATATTAGATATGAGTATTTCTCTTATTAAAAATTTAAATATTGTTTTATCAGCGATCAATCATTTCCATCACTTGGTAGTAGAAACTTTTTGCATATCAACGTGACTTAAGTTCTTTATGCAGGATTTGTTTGTGGCCTTCCATTCTCAAAATAAATAAATAAATAAATTCAACCCCTTTAATAACAATCAAAATCTTATATCAGTAAATATAGAAGACTGAAATTGAGGGATAGGGGGTTGTTTGCTTGTAATCTAGTGGATCAGCGGCCAGCCCAGCCGAAGAAAATGAAGGATCTAGGATAGAGGACTAGGTCATGTTTGGCTACTTGTAGTTGATGCGTGGAATATTGTTGGGGAGAACGACAATTGCTGGAGGCTGTCTTTTTCGCTGCCACGCGAAACAAGTGACACAAACAAGACTACAAAAGTGTTTCAATCTTCATCGTCCGAATGATGATGGTGATTATTACATTACACAATAAGTGATGCTTATCCACAAACACTCACTTCCTTAATGCATGCGCCTTAGTGGGTAATTTCCCCCTCAATTTACCTTCACTCATTATCATGCCTGTTTTCTGTTTTTTCATAATACCAACCTACACTGTACTTTCTATGTACGTTTACGCCAAATTAGTTGTTTTCAGGTACTCGTGATTTATTAATAATACCTTTTATATACTTATTTAATGTTATCTCATCATATTCTGACATTATTAAACCTGATATTTGCGAATAACTTTTCTAATATAAGTTATTCCATTTCCACAATTCAAATCCTCGATTATACTTAAAGAAAATTAAGTCCCTTTCTTACTTGACTAGCTACTATTGAATATATTTGACATTGCATGTAAGAATATTTACTGTTCATTTGTAATTAAACAACTTGCGTGTAATCAGCTGAACGAGTAAATTTAGTTATTTCTTTTTTTTCCTGGTAAGGAGTAAATTTAGTTATTTCATTAACTTCATTTGCAAAACGTGCGTGTTAGTGAAGGTTGCTTGGGCTGGTTTTCATATATTCAAGAACTTCGATAGTATTGTACTTGGCCATGAAAAGACAGTATTGTGCCGAGAAAAACTTCGATAGTAAAATAATATCGCATCAATATAATGACCGAAACATAATGTTAATTAATTGATACTATCTTTCTAAATCAACTCTTCATCAATATAATGCCTTCTGCGCTCGCCTTTGAATTTGTTCATTTCGGGCCAAATAAAATTTTTCAATAAATAAAATTGTTTTAATTTCAAAATGAAAAGAGGTAAACTATAATGTACACTCCGTGTATATAACTCAGGTATTCGTACATTATATACATTGCTAGATTATGATAACGGAGAGCACGTCGGGTGGCTAGAAAAAATGTTGAAATACGCAAAATGTTTTTTGAATGAAAGACGGGGTGAATAAAATGTATGTCAAATAATGAAATATTCAATTTTGTTTTGATTAATTTTTTTAAATCATAATTCTCCCTTAATTACTAGCTATTTTTAAAATTTTGTAGATTTATACATAGAAATTTCAGATATTAACTTTAATGGAAAGCGTGGATGTCTTGTCATTATTGGTATTACAGTTCATTAAGCAAAGGGAAACAAGTTTGATTAAATTAAACGGTGATGCCTCGCCACCTAACTCACCACCCCATTTAAAAGATAATGACTGATTTACTTGCTCTCCGTGACTAATGTGGGTCTTTGATCATTATAGGCTAGACACAACACGCTTCAATTGTGTGTGTGTGTGTGTGTTAAAGTTATACTTATTTTCTAAAGATATGACAAAATTACGCCCGATATTTTTAATTTCAGATTCAGATGCCAGATATGGCTCTCGTAAATATAGAAGTCGACGTTAAACTTAATAAATTAAAAATTAATTTTTTATTGATAAGAATTAGTGTTTTTATAAAAAAAAGTGTATTTTTCTAAAAAAATATAAAATACAAATTGTCAAGAAATAACTAATCAAGAAATACTTTAGGGGTCTGTCAGAAAAATGATTTTTCAATGAAAGATCAATTAATTAGCGGGTGAAACTAAATTTACAGTACAAATATCACAATTAGATATTGCTAAAAATGATTTTTTTTTTGTCAAGAGTTAAAAATGAGTTTAATTCTGAATAATTACATGGGAGAATTTCAATGATGACAAGGAAAGAGAAATATTTATCAGTTGGTCCTAAAAAAATTTAAAAATTCTCAACAAGTTTTTAGAACTGAACTGAAATAAAATTGATGACTGAAAATACTGAATTTCCCTTCTATAAAAATTAATAAGTAAAGATTTTTTCTATGAAGTGTGTAAATGTTACATGTTAATCATGTTACATTACTTATTGCTTCTTTTGTATTAGTTATAAAAATTTTGAAATGATATTGCAACAATAGATATGACAAGTTCATTCTAAAACCCCTTATAGTCAACTACATTACTCAATTATTATCTAATTTTACTCATTAATTGCTTGCTTGTATTTATTAATTCATTAATAGTAGTTGTTAAATAGCCAACTAGTTAAGTACGTAGCTTCGTAATCTTAAGAACATTACTTATTAATTTCATAATTTTGTTAACATGACTTGTTAACTACTTGACTTACGAATCATTTACAAAACCTATTTACTTAATTTGACTTAAAAAAAATTATTAATTGTTAATTTTCTTATCTCAGTTG